TTCCTGCTGGACCAGTGAGACACCTCTGAACTGTCCCAAATCCAGAGGGAAATGGGATCCAAAACTAGGCTAGCAAGTGGGCAAATGATTAACTACCACTGCTCTCTGCTGCTCTCTCCTGGCCCTGAACCAACATCTGAAACAAGTGCTCTATGCACTAGGGAGCATAAGAACTGGACAGAGAGCACTCAAACATCAGGAAACCCTGGAGGTAAAGATGTGGACTGGAAAGACAAAGACCCTTACACTACCCACCAAAAAACACAAGCAGAGGCATTTGCCCTCCACAGAAACAGCCCTCCAGAGGAATTCTTCAGGTCCTGAGAGCTTCCTTGAGGTCCTACCAAGATGTAGTGACATTTTGTCTCTTTACCAACATTCAGCCAAAGCCTCTTCAGAATCAGCACTGTGTTGCCCTCTCCTTTCCCAGTAGTGCACAAATGGATGTGCAAGTCAGCAGCATGGAAAATAATCCCCTCAGCTACAGCTATGCCAGCACTGGCTATTTAGGGCCTGTCTCCATGACAGCGTTTGTCTTCTGCATGAGCTGAAGGAGGTCACCATTCTTTGTTTTTTTAGTGGCCTAGGACTCATTTTCCTAAAATAATTTCTTGTGGGATATTAAAAGGAATTGAGAAAGGAGGCAGGGCACAAGGAGATGGAGGAACCAGGAGACAGAGAGAGACGGACAGATGGGCAGGGCTGAACGAAGGGGTGGCCTTTACCTCCCAGCTGCTGAGATTCTGGAAGAAGAAGTAAAGGGCAGCTCCCCACACTATGGCAGTGGCCACGATGCAGAACAGCGGAATGGGCAGAAGCTTCTCCGAGCTGCGAAGCTGAAAAGGTTAAGAGGGACAGGGTCACAGAACAGTCCAGCAAGACACTATCACAAGGCATGTCCTGAAGGTCAGACCAGGCACATGTTCTCAACAGAGGGCACAATGTAGAGTGACAGCCCCAACCCGTGTACACTTGAGAACAGATGCACAGGGATGGGTCATGCACAGGGCATCTGTTCTCCACAAGGAGCCAGAACATCCCTTTAGGGCTGCCAGGGCTTGCAGGGCCCTGGCATGCCCTTTATTTGCTGCCAGCCCAGGAGTTTGACAAGTTCTATTCAAGATGCATGGCCAGACTGTGCCCTTCCCTACCTGCTCCTCAGCACC